TTATTGTCATCTGTTAAGGAATTGCCACAGCTGCCCCGCCCTTTAGTGACCACCACTCTGATCAGCCAGCACTGACGGGCACTGTGCCGAGACCCTCCGCCAGCAAAAAGATTACCCTTGCTGAAGGCTCAGATGATCATTAGCATTTTTTAGCAATAAAGTATTTTTAAGTTAAGATATATACATTGTTGCTTAGACATAATTCTATTGCACACTTAATAGATTATAGTATAGGCCGGGCGCGGTGGCTCACGGCTGTAGTCCCAGCTACTCTGGAGGCTGAGGCAGGAGGATCGCTTGAGCCCAGGAGTTTGGGGCTGCTGTGAGCCACGATGACACCACTGCACTCCAGCCCAGGCAACAGAGGGAGACTCTGTCTCGAAAAAAAAAAAAAAATAGACTGTAGCGTAATGTAAACAACTTTAATATGCATTGAGAAATCAAAAAATTTGTTTGATTCGCATTATTGCAATATTTGCTTTACTGCTGTGGTCTGGCACTGAACCTGCCATATCTCTGAGGTGTGCCTGTAATGCCAGTGCTAATGTAGACCCTTTATGGGGTGGTTGCCAGTGTCCAAGACTGTGTGGGTGCCTGTTATGCATTACCCCGTTTGATCCTTAGAACGACACTATGACGTCCTTATCCTTTTGTTTCCATTTTACAAATAAGCAAACTGAGATGCACAGGGGCAAATCAACTTCTCTCAAGGCCTCTAGAGTAGTCAGCTCAGGCTGACATGCAAAAACACAGACAGGGGGCCTTAAACAGTAGAAATTTACTTCTCACAGTTCTGGAGGCTGGAGTCCATGGTGAGGGTGCCGGCATAGTGGGGTTTTGGTGAGGGCTCTCTTCCTGACTTGCAGGTGGCAGCCTTCTTGCTGTGCACTCAATCAGATCTCTCTCTCTTTCTCTCTCTCTTTTTCTCTCTCTTCCTCTTCTTATAAGGCCACAGTCCTGTAAGATTAGCACCCCACCCTTATGACTTCATTTAGCTGTAATTACCTCTTAAAGTCCCTATCTCCAGTTGCACTGGGAGGTAGGGCTCCAACGTATGAATTTGGAGCCGGGGGACACAATTTGGTCATAGCAGCCTCTTAGCTGGCGAGAGGCAGAGCTGGGATTAGAACCCAGGAGGTCAGACCTTCAACTCCCCACCCCACCAGGGCTCCCACTAATGAGCCACCCTCACTCTCTGGGGTGTGATTTTTCTTTCTCTTTCTCCTCTGCCTTGGTTGTCTTAAGCCCAAGGGAGTCAAACAGCTTTTCATTAGAACAGGTGAAAATACTGCACTTGACAATTCAACTCGGATCATCACAGGCTTGGGAGCACAAATCATTCATTCTTTAGAGGCAAAATTGTCATGAAAACTAATCAATGCAGGGCCTTAGTCTGTTCCAGCTACAGAGCATGTCAGCAAAAAAGAATAATGAGAAGGCGTGCAGTCAGGATTTCCAAGGCTACGATAATTCACCCTTCACGTAATGAGATGAAACGCTGACATATAATTAATATAAAGTGGTGGTGTCCTTTTGAACCAGACAGATAATTCCACATGGTGTACTCTTCCAGCAGGTGAGAGAAGCAGCCAAAGAGAAGCCCAGGTGGGGGAGGGATACAGCAGGGAGGGGTGGGCTGCAGCAGGCTCAGCAGGGAAGGGCCAGGCCCCATCACAGCAGCTGTGGGAGAGGGGGGACAAGTGTGGGCCACAAAGCCAGACAGCCTGGTTTCTAGCCCCATGTCCTCCACTTATTAGTGGCATGACTCAGTTGCCCCTCTGTAAAATGGGACCAGTAATAGTAAGATAACAGCAGAAAATTAATGAGGCTATTAGGAGCATCAGAGAAGTTCAAAAAGACACATATCTATCAAGTATCCAGTAAATGTCAGAGGTCATTTCCTGATAAGAACTGAAATCATTAGGGCACGGCAGGATGGTCTTGAGTCTGAATCGAGAGTCACTGGTTCAGGCCAGGTAATGAGCTGCCTGGGGCCTTGCTCTCCATCTCTGAGACATGGGCAGAGTTGACATGAAGACTCCTGGACGAGGATATAATTTGTGGGTAGCAGGTACCAACCATGGGGCTAGAACAGACTCTACCTGTCTTCTGGAAACAGCTCTGAATTTTCCTCTGGAGATCCCCTTCCCCCACTCTCTGCTCATGAGACACAATGGGGCAACCTCCTGCCCCTCCTCCACTGTGCCAGGGATGGGGACGTGACCTGAGCTGGGTCAACATTGCCTGTGACCTTCAGCTTCTGGGGGCTGCTCAGCTAGTAGGAGAAATTGGACCTACCAGGGGTCAACATGAGTTATGGCTCTGAAAATAGAGCTAATACGGGAAAGAAGGGGAAACAGAGAGAGAGACCAAAGTCAGCTATAACTCTAGACTTTTCAGTTATAAAAGCCAAGAAATTCCTTTTTGTGCTTAAGCAAATTTGTTTCTCTTCCCTATAACTAAGTAAATCCTGACCCATACAGTATATAAAGTGCTCAGTACTGACCAATGGAGTGATGGCCTTTCTCTTTTAACCTGTAGATGGAAGGACCATTATTTATCTCTGTCTATTAATATCTCTATCCATCTGTAATCTATCATCTATATCAAATCCATCATTTATCTATCATCTACTCACCTTATCATCCATTATCATACATATACATACATACATATATAACCTCTTAAAGTGAACAAAATTTTTATTTACAGAAAATATATTTTCATATATTTTCTTTTCAGTTAATTCTTGAAACAGTCACAAACATGGCATTATTACATCCATTAACAAATGAGAAATTGAGGCTCAAGGAGTCTGGGAAGTGACTCCAAAATCCCGCAATAGGTTCACTCCTTTCTTATTTATGATGGAAATACGATGCCAATGGAAGCCAACACTTGCAGAGAATTTTCTTATTTACAGCCCTTTCACATAACCAACAGGTATCTGTCATTAATCTGTTGGTATCTTAGAGAACATGAACAGACCATCAAAAACAGTGCCCAACAAGCGGGTGCTCCAACATAATCTTTCTCCTTTAACATATGAACTCAGTTATGCACCTGATCCCTCTGGTCCACTCTAAGGAGACTCTTCTGAAAATGTTTAGGCTCAGAGATATTCATCTAAGTAGTATTTACATTGGCAAAATAATTAGAAACAGACCTAAGCAACCTACAAGACAGGATAAGGGTTTGATGGCTTCTGTACTTTTCCAAAGTGGACTATTACGTAGCCATTAAAAATGATAGACAAAGAGTTTGCAATAATAAGGAGACAGTGCCCCTACCACACTATTAATTTGAAAAGACAGAAGACGAAATCATTGTGCATGGTTTTTATATCAATAACACATACAGTCATATGTCATTGATATAAAAAATGCACGAAAAGGAGTACAAAAAGAACCAAAATGTCATCTGGGCATGATTAGATTCTGGATAATCGCTGCTTTCTTATGTATTTTATTTTCTATGTTTTCCAGTGAACATAATGTTGTTTTTCTGATTAGAAATTTACTTTTTAAAATTGCCTTGCATAGCAATCTAAACACAAAGGGGTGCATTTCTCCCAAACAATTGAAATGTTTAGATCTGCAGTCCCCAACCCCTGGGCTGCAGACCAGTACTGGCCCACGGCCTGTTAGGAACGAGGCCACACAGCAGGAGGTGAGCAGCCGGCAAGTGAGTGAAGTTTCATCTGTATTTACAGCCGCTGCAATCACTCCCCATCCCCACCCCCCCCACATCTGTGGGAAAATTATCTTCCATAAAACCAGTGCCTGGTGCCAAAAAGGTTAGGGACCTCTGGTTTAGATCACTGCCCAGAGATATGAAAGACTTCCAGCTGTTACTCCAACTGGGATGTACAACATCCGGTTTGCTTTGTCCCCATGGAAATACCTGAGTCTGTGCATCTGCCACACGTGCCTTGATTTGCTCAAACAGGACAATCATATTCCTCCTGGTCCCTTATCACCCAATGTTCAAAGTGCTCCTAAGTATGAACAGACAGAATCAGAGGTGACAGGAAGGAACATGGGCAAAGACGCCCCCTGCTAGGGTCACTGCTATTGCTCTCAAGATAAACAGTCAGCTGAGCAGCTAAATGGAACAGTTGGAATTTGTTTCCTAAAGTGCCCTGTCCTCTCCCCTTCAACAAAATCCAGCTGAGGACACATTTGCTAAGTGTCTCCAATGTGTCTGACACTGTGTTAGGCCCCAGAAACAGAGAACTGAGTTTCAAGCAGCAAGTGATTTCCTAGTGAGGACAGATGAGTAATCTGATAATTTGGGTTCACTGTGGTAAAGGCTGTTTGGGTCAAGTGTACGGCGAGGCAGAGGTCATGAGGTGCACTCACCAGGTCAGCAAAGGCTTGCGGCTCACGGGCTTCCTAAGCCCGGTGCTCGGAATGCACAGGAGCTGGTTAGGGGACGCTGGTGGTAGTGGAGACATGAGAGTTTTAGGAAGAGGAGATGCCACGTGCAAAGGCACAGAGGCAGGGGTGCTTTAGGAAGCGAGTTTAATGTGGAGTAATAGACAAGGATGGAAAGGAGAGAAAGTTCTGGAACATGAGTCATGGCAGGCCTCGTGGGCTGCATTCAGAACTTGGAATTTAACTTGTGCATGCTGGGCAGCTATCCTGAGTGGAATAAAGCATGGGTCCCAAGTGGCCCTTCTTGCCATCAGCTCCGTGGGTGTGATTTTCCAAAACACTGAACTCCCCTTAGCAGGCTCTATTTGGCATTCTCCTAGAACATTCCACACAGCTTCTCAAATATACAAAACCTTCTCTTCTGAATCCATTTCAACTCTGATTCATCGTATAAGAGCACAGAATCAAAATGAAGCAGACCCTTGAAGATTCATCAGAAAACGTACTCTACGCCACACTTAAGAATGTCTGAACCCAGAAAATGCCATTCCTCTCCCTTCGCAGTGCGGATGTTCCTTCCAGCACGTGGCTGCACATTGGGGAGCCCCGGACAGACTCACTCACCACAGGTTGACCAGGAAGGGGTGCTCCAGCCCCTGCATGATCTGCAGTTCCCTGAAGACGTTCCGAACTTCATCCCTCTCGATGCACTTCTGCTTGTTCATGTACTTCATCGCGTACATCTTCTTAGTGTCTCGCTTCTGCACGATGCACACCTGAGTGACAGCCAGAGGGGAGAACATTCGGGCCAACAATGAAAAAGGGAGGAGAAGAAAAGTCAATCCCCCACCGCATCTGCACTCCTGGATTGCAGTCTCTGTTCTGAAAACTTGCTGGCGGAGCAGCTCTGGCCAAACTAGCGCCACAACCTCTACATCTGGGAAACGGAGAATCGGACCAGATTCGTCTGTTTACTAAATATTTACACTAGGACGGGCCCGTCCTGAGTGTGGGAAAGGAGCTGCAGACACGCAGGACGGGAGGAGCAGCCCCGCCCACAGGAGCTCACAGGCTGGGAGCCAGCGAGGCGCACCAGCGACCAGGACCCTAGAGTGTGGGGTGCAGTGTGCCGCGGACCACCTCTGCCCGCTGAATGTCCTCCCCTGCCCACTGCAGCACACACCTGCCTGACTGCCAGCCACCAGCCCTGTGTCACTTTGCCTGAGGCCTCTTCTTGCCAGCAGGGCCCCTTTACTCCCCATACGACAGACCAGCAGAGCCAGGGAACTAGTGTCTACAGGAGCAGCACTTGGCCCATGATGGATGGAAATGGGGTGTCAACACCCCAGCCCCCTTATCCATTGGGTGGGATGAATCTGAGGCTGTAGTTTCACACCGGCTCCCGGAGTGCGTGGTTCCACGGCGCTGGATGGCACACCCTTTCCCGGCTGTCTTCCTTCCTATCCTTCCCCGACTCACTTCCCAGCTCACTTACTTGTGTTTTCTTTACTTCTCCAGGTCCCTGTGCCCAAGCCCTGGCATCGGAACCTGCTTTGGGGGAACCCAGACTCAGGCACGTGGGCTCTGGGGGAGTGCGGGAGGGGTCGTGACAGAGGGGACGGCAGTGCTCGTGTATTGAGCACTTTACTGCAGGCCGGGCGCTGAGCACATCATCCTCTTGGTTATCTCACTTACTCACCACAAGAACTTCCTGGATAAAGTACAAGGAGGCTACAGCCCTGAGTGTACTAAGTAACTTGCCCAGTTAAATGGCAAGCAGGACTCAGCGCACAAGGGTCTGACTTTTGAATGACTCTCTTACCCGGGGCAGCAGGGGCAGGGTGGGAGAAGGCTTTCCCTGGGAATCAGCGCCAGAGGGAGCAGCCTTCCCCCCCTAAAGGACGGGCAGACGAGACAGCAAGGGCAGAGGAGGAGGCTTCTAGGGAGAGGGAACGTCACAAAAGACATGAGCCTGAGAAGGCACCGTGAGTAGTACGATATGGCGGGAAAAAGTCACCAGGGCTGACGTGCGCCGCTTGACGTGGACCGTCGACAAGGACTGCATGATCTATTTGTCCCAACAGTCCCTCGGGCTGCCAAAACAAAGTGACACAAATTGGGCGAGCGGCTTAAACAGCAGAAATGTGCTGTCTCACAGTTCTGGAGGCTGGAGTCCAATCACAGTGTCGGCAGGGCCACGCTCCCTCTGATGGCCCTGGAGGGGGGTCCCGCTTACCCCTTCTGGCCTCAGTGGCTGCCAGCAGTCCCTGGTTCTTTGCGGCTTGCAGCCGTAGCACATCGGTCCCTGCCTCCACTGCCACGTGGCCTCCTCCCCCTGTCCGTGCCGCTGATTCCAGATTCTCATCTTATCAGGACACTGTTTGCTGTGGATTCAGGGCCCACCCTACTCCAGCACGACCTCATCTTACCTAATTACATCTGCCATGGCCCTACTTCCGAATAAGTCACACTCTGAGGTCCCAGGAGGCTGTGAATTTGCTGGTGGCGGAGGGGGAGACACTGTTCAACCCAGTGCAGCTACTGTTACTACCTTGCACAGATAGAGGACAGTGAGGCCCAGGAAGCTTCCAGGCCTTTCTCAGGGCTCTCAAGCCTCAAACCCAGGCTCTTCACCCACAACGTGGAGTCCTTGTTAAAAGAGACATGTTGGAAAAATCCAGCAATGAGGCAGTGGGCCTGGGTACCCCGTCGTGGAGCTCGGGGTTTTGTCCTGACATCACAGGTTGCTCCTCTGTTGGAAACCGGACCCTTTCAGCTCCGCCACGCTGTGAACTATGCAAGGCAGATCCCGGACACGGGGGAAAGCCTGGATTCTGACTCCGGCCTTGCTCTTGCTGCTCTCTGGGCCTGAGTCTCAGCATCTGCCTGAACTGAGTCAGCAAAGCTACCCTGCACCCCTGGTGGGAGGCTGAACGAAATCGAGGAAGTGGGAGTGCCTGCAAATACTGGGGTGTGGGGTGGGATAATAAATGCCATCTGAATCTCAATGTATGAAATAATACGCTTCATAAAACTGCCAAAAAGATGTCTTTCTACACAGTGAAATCAGTGGCATGAGGCTGAAGGCCCGTGGAACTTCCATTTCCAGTGAACTCGAAAGTACAAAATGCACGGAGGCAAAGGTGTGACATCCAAAGGCATCTTAGGGAACTGGGCTTTGCGGGAATCTGAGCAGAGACTCCTGGAGCCCTGGGCACAGGCCCCGAGCCCCACGTCTGAAGGCAGGCGTGCCATGGGAGGACAATGCCACTAATTAGGATTTCTCGTCTCCCTCACTTCTCATTTGCCTTCTCAGAAGGGACGCTCTGCGGGCGGGCCCTGCCGCGGGCCGCAACATCGGGAAGGGTCAGGCTGGGATGGGAGGCGGGCGCCGTCCTGGGGCCGCGTCTGTTCAGATACAGATGGCCACGGCTCTCCTGGGCCCTGACAGACAAAGGTGCTGAGGGACAGCTTCTCGCCTCAGCTCAGGGACAGTGTAGGAATCGTTATATGAGAGAGCTCCAAAATCAAATTAGAACTCCGGCTTTCAAAGTAGAGCTAATGATTTCAATAGAGCTTGGAAGTTTGAATTTTTAATACAAGAACAAGAGGGCGGTTGGCACAGGATGTCGGATATAGCTTGGAAGTTTAGATTTATAAGTAAAAGAAGAGAGACCAAGGGACAGGGGTCTTGGCCAGCTCAGTGTGGGGCCCGGAGTGTGGCTGGGATCCCTTGATCATCTGAGCCTGGGCTCCCTCCTCGGTAAATTGAGGGCTCGGCCCCAGTGCTTTCTAAGGCATCTCAGAAACACTGCTTCTTGGGGACACGTGCTAAGAAGGCTACACTCAGGGTCAGGCGAACTGAGCCTGAGCGCTGATCCCGGCCCTCTTGTAGACTCTGAGGACTGCTCTGCACAAATCCCTGTGCTCCAACGCACTGAATGGAGAGAAGGGTCTGCCAGGAAGTCAGACACACAGAGAGTTTGAGCTCAGGGGCCACTCTGACCAGGACTTAAACTCCAGCTCTTTGCTGTGTGATCATGGGCAAGTCACTCACCCTCTCTGAGCCTCAGTCTGCTCATCAGAGCACCTGCTGTTCACCACATGAGAACACAGTGAGGAGTCAGCAGTCTGCAACCTGGAAGAGGCCCTCACCACAACCCAACCATGCTGGCACCTCGATCTGGGACTTGCAGCCTCCAGAACTGCGATCAACAAATATTTGCTGTATAAGCCCCGCAGTCTGTGGCATTTTTGTTATAGCAGCCTGAACATACTAAAGCGGTACCCTTATTCGGATACGGGTCTTTGCAGTTGGAATTAAGTCAAGGATCTCAAGGTGAGATCACCTTGGATTAGGGTGGACCCTAAATCAAATGACAAGTGTCCTCAGAAGAGAAGAGAAGGGGGGAAGACACAGCCAGGAGAAGGCCGTGTGATGGCAGAAGCAAAGACAGGGGTGAGGCAGCCGCAGACCAAGCAGCACCAAGGCCGCCCGCGCCCACCAGAAGCGGAACGCGGGCCTCGGGACGGACGCACCTGCGGAGCCTCTAGAAGGAGCCTACCCTGCCCACGCCAGGAGTTTAGACTTCTGGCCTCCAGAACTGTAAGATAATATATTTCTGTTGTTTAAGCCCCCCAGTTTGTGGTGATTTGTTATAGAATTCCCTAGGAAACGAATACAGTCCAGAAACGTCCCCGCTGCCCCTCGCCTATGGCTGAACAACTCAGCCAAGTGCTCGGTGGTTCTTGCCCTCCTTCACTGTAGAGTGGGTCTGTAGCACTGACCCTTCCGGGTCTACACTCAGGTCTCCACGGCTTGGAGCGGAGAGAGCCCGGCAGAGCATGTGGCCCACGCAGGGGACCAGTACACACGGGCTGGCGGAGTGATGGACAGATTGATGCTTTGAGCCCAGCCCTGAGCCCCTGGCGAAGTGTCCTCTCTGAGTCCCTACAACTACAGCGGTTTCTGGATTTTAGAGTTCAATGCTTGAAATTTCAGTGACAGGAAGAATTCACTGCAGCAGCTTCCTAAATGGCCACCCCCACCTCTGCTCTGGTCTCTGCAAACGTCTTTCTGCCTGGTAGAAACCTCCAGAAAAGCAGACACTTAAAGCTTGCAGGGTGTTCCTTTGCCTTCCAAAAAAGTTCAAGGTCAGTATCCTGGCATTCAAAGCCCTCCATGCCTGTGTCGCCCCAAACACACGCATGTGCACGCATGCACACACACACCCTTCACCACGGCTGCCTCGAACCCTTTAGTTTCCCTGAAGAATTTCTCCACCAACCCCTCTAACCTTGTCACCTGCTCCCTGTCCCGCTGCTCCCCAGGCCGGCCCTCCCAGCCTGGCCGGCTCCATCTCTGCCTGGGCATTACTTCTTCAGGGAGCTTCCCCTGGAAGCTATTCCCACTGGGTGGTCAAAGGCCCCGTGTCTACTGTGAAGCTATTTGCGCTGCATTATAAATCCCTGTTATTAAAGCCCAGTCAGACCCCGGCACCCTGAAGGCAGAGGTCACGCCTATCCGGTTCCCTGTTCAGGGGTTCATCTGTGTGAATTTGTCAGCTCCTCTCCTGATCCCCAAACTGGTCCATTTCACTTACTGTGCTTGGACCACTCTCCCTGCAGCCTTCCCCTCCTTACTGCTTGCTGGGAATGCCACCTCCTGGCCTCAAGGTTTCCCTGGCCCTGACCTCCAAGGCCGAGTCCACAAAGGAGCTGAATTTCATTCGCGACTGGGTCTGCCATGTCCCCCGTGGCCCATAGCAGGTCAGCG